TAAATAATTATTTAAACCGCATCACAGAAAAAAGATTCAGTATAAAATCTTACTGGCAAAAACGGTAAGCCACCATCTCCAGCAGAAAGATTGTGCATTTATCACAGCATATAACTAATGGGGAGAGGGTAATATATCGTATGTGGACATGTGCTGTATAGTATGTGTATAATACATACCCCCTTCTGTAAAGCAGCACCTGGTAACAACAGTACTTCTAATATGAGCAATATTAAGACATTTAGCAGACAGCATTTCTGGGAAGACCATGATCTCAGGTAAGTAGTGCAGTGCAGCATGTACAATGAGTTGTGTGGCTTTGGGACAAGAAGGTTTGCCCTTGATCTGTCCTCCTGAACCCACTTTAGCAGTATTCTTCTGCTTATCCTGCTTGGTAGCTCAGAGTTAATGTCACTACATTGTACGGTGAACCTGAGAACAGCTCAATGGAATAATCTGGAAGGGAGTCGGATTGGTGGGTGGGAATTGTGGTGTGAATGTTGGTTTCCATCCTAGCTCCTCTTACTTTGGTGAGGGGTCTGCAGTCCCAGGACCTTTCCCCAAGGGGCAGCAGCACTGACTGTTGTAGAGGAACAGTATTTGCTGCCAGAAAAGTGAAGCGGTGCACTTCCTCCTTGGCTTTGGAAGTCAGTTGAGTTCAGAAATGATTGCACCCTGGGTAGCTTGGTTTTCCCTTCCTTCTGCAGCTTTGAATGTGACAACCTGATAACTTCCTTTTCTCTTCCTGTTTCCTTCAGCCTTGTAAAGCCCATGCGACACTATACAGTCTTCCTCTCTGAGGATTCTTCTGGTGATGAATTTCCTGCCTCTGCCTTCTCTGAAAACTTTTTCTTCTCTGCTCCTTTTGAATGGTCCAGTCTTTATTCTTTCATTGTATTAATTCAGGCTTTGAATGGCAATTTTGTCACCAGTACAGACTGCTGCTTCTGTGCTTGGATTTTTAGAGTTTTAGAACCTTTTGGGAACACGTGATGACTTTATTAATATTTCTCCTGCTAACTGTTCTGACACTCAGAGGCATGCAAGAGCATGGGTACTGCATGAAGCACTGTGCTGCTGTTGCCCACAATGTAGGTGCACAGCTTGTCCTAGCATTGGTGATTTGGGCTCTGTGGGAGGTAACCCGCCATCTAGCTCTTCCTTCCAGTGTGTTGCTTTCCCTCCTGTCTCCTGTTGCTCTTCTGCATCCAGGGCTGTTTGTCTGTTATGAGTTGTCTTGTGGGCTTCTTCTGCTTCTGTGCAGCCATCAGCCTCCTCCAGGTCCTCCCTCTTACTCCCCACATCTCTGTTCCATCCCATACCAAGTCCTCAGTGGCTGGCGGAGGAATTCCCCCTCGGTTCCTCCCAAAGCCACAGGATTTCCAAGGCTTCTCCATGCGTAGTGTGTTCTAAAATGACACCAGAAATAACCAAAGTAGTTAGTTGATTTTGTTGTTATTGTCTGTGACCTTAATGAAACTCCCATTTTATTAACTTAATGTGAAGTACTTCATGGCAAGAACTTTTGACTTTAATGTTTTATAAATTCCATTTTCAAATACAGTCCCAGACATCATTTGTAAAGGTGATGACAGTTGTGATGCTTGGGGTTTCATAAATCAGCATTCAGTCTTATTTAACCTTAGTGTTTGTGGGTCTTGAGAAGTGTATGTGTGTGATACACCTTGTGTGTGCTTATTTATCTGTACCCTTCCAATGCTTCTGAGACCGATTTTCAAAGACTCCTACAGAGAATGTGTCAATCCTAAATGTAGAGAGCTAGTCAGCGTTTTGGGTTACAAATGCCTGCATGTGAATTTGGGCATCACCCCTGGGATTTTGAAATCATTCCAAATCACCCACGTTTGAAAACTAGCATGGCTGTCAGTGTCCATGGATTTAGTCCATGGACTAGAATGAAGCAGACCTGTGTAAAGTAGTCACACCTCTTCAAAACTGGAATGATCATGCAGAAAAAAGCTCAGGTGAGGTGAAGTGGAGACTCTCCTCCGTTTGTCATTGGCTTTTTGAAGGCACCTCCTGGGAGGGCAGGGAGCAGCAAAGCCTTGATCCAAGGGATTGATCCTCATGGGCCAGTGGGAACTAACTAACCTTTGTTGAGGGTTCAAAAAAAGACGTTGATTCCTACGAAATCGAGTCCTGTTCAGCCTTGCAGCTCCATGCACTTCCTGACTCTGCCCCAATCAAACAGTCAAGGGCAAGGTGTTGGAATATTGGGAGGCAGACTGTTCTTGGACTGTTTGACATCAAGAGCATGAAGTACCTGAAGTCGGGACAGTGCCTTATCACCAGCAGTTTCCCCTACGGAGAGATTGGCATGCAGTCAGATCTGAGCACGTCACCAAAACAAGTCTCCCTGTGACTAACAGCGGTGGTTTGTGCCTGGCCTGTGGGAAGAGGCTAACGTGGTGGTGTCCCGAAGATGGTGTGCTCTCAGAAATATTCTGATGTGTGGCCTGGGGACCTCACTGTTGCTGCACGTGTGGAAAAAGTCAAAACTTGGAGTAACAAGAACGTGACGGAGAATGTCAGCTTGCTCTCAAGTGGGCAGCTAGCACCACGGGGAGTTGGGAGGGACATAATGGAAGCCAGGGCAGCTGACTCTTTGAGGATTGGAGGTTGAATTCAAAGACCTCTAATAGTGGTTAAGATTACCCCATAATGACAGAGCAATGCAGGAAGACACTTCAGGCCCCCGTGAGTTGGCCATCTGAGGACAGAAAGGAAGATCCTGCATTGCTTTCGTGGGTAGGGAGAAGACCCTGGAAATATTTAATTCACAAAGGAGCCACTCTGCAGTATTTTACCAATAAGATCTGGTGTAAATGAGTTGTGGGGATGTTGTGCAGGAGATTCAAGATGGAAATCCCATTCACAACTGTAAAGTCCATGTTTCATGTGCCTCCACAATGGGCCTGATCCAAAGCCCACTGCCATCAGTGAACTTCTCTCCATGGACGTCAGTGGATTTTGGATCTGGACCTGAGTCATTGTAACCAATGCTGTGCTGCATTTCGACCCTCATAAATCCTTCCTGGTTGCCCCAGCTCCTCTTCATGCAAACCCGAACGTGCATTTCACAAGACATGGCATCAGTTCGTTCTTTATTGCTGCTCAGGAAATAGTTTCTTCCATAGAAGTCATTAGCTAGTGATGTGCACTATTGGGTGCCTCTGTCTTGTGCATCTTTTCCTGGCTGCACTGCTGGTTGGATGCCGGCGTCTGTATAATGGTGAATGAAGCCTGGTGCACTTTGCTCAAAAATTTGCATGATGCGTTTTATGTAAAATGATATAGAATTGTTTTATATAACAGTGTAAAATATATTTTAAAAATGGAAAGAAAGAGACGGATTTTTCCCCATTACATTCTCCACACACCCATATATTTTCTCTTAATCCAAAGCCTTGTTTAAATGCCACCGAGACTGGCTGCTAATCAAATGCCAGTCAGCACAGAATTGCATGTCAGGTCTCATTATTAATTGGATGCACATTATACTGCTGTTCTCTCATACGCAGAACTGATATGCAAATCCAGTGGTGTTCAAGGGATGTTTTTCTGACGTACATATGAGAAGTGTATTCTAGTAACCCAGGGCTTGGCTGTAAATGTAAAATAGATTTCCCCATCATGGACTGCAGTGTCTCTTGATAAGATGACACCAGTATAATCATTGAAACTACACATAGTCCTCCCAATTACTGCAAGAAAACCCCATGAATTGCAGCCGGTGCTGAGTTAGCTGGAATGCAGAGAATGTAACTGTGTGCAAAACACAAGAGTATTTGCAATTGAACTTTTTTACTGGGAATATCCAACTTCCTGCATAAAACAACTATGTTGGGCTGGCTCACAGCCAGTCACAATGAAAAGCTAGTGTCAGATAATACATGCTCAAAAGAGCTCTGCTTAGTGAGGTTTTAACCACATCATCGCTGCTTTTTCAGTCCACTTTTTTTAAATACAAGTTGAGGAAAACTATTATTTTTTCTGAAGGGACAAATTGCATTTGACAGTATCCCTTTAACAGAGGGAGTGTGTATATACATTTCTTTCCATTTAAAAGCCTCTATTCTTAAAAGTAGTCTTCCTCCTCCCCCTTTACTCTAAACTCCAGTGGAAAGCGTTTTTAAAAAGCCAATCAAAAGTTACCCTACAAATGTTGCAGTGTTGCCACTGAAGTTTTGAGAACCTTTAAGTGATCCTGACTTGTCTAATTTATTTGTCCTAGCTCAGAGAAATGGAAAAAGTCAACAGCACGAATTGTGAAAAATGATTTTACTTTAAAAATTCAATGACTTTGTGAGCTAGGGCAAGGAAAATGATTTTTAACAGGGCAGTCAGTGTCCTCTGAAAACTGAACTTCTCTAAATTCCCTTCATTCCTGTGATCTGTTTTATGGTTTTTCGAGATGCAACATAATCATGACCACCTTTTCTTGATTGAATTGGGAGGACTGTCAGGAAAAGAGAAGGCAGTGGAGTTGCCAATCTTTCTTTGCTGCTGTTCATAGAAACGTATTTATTGAAAGATCAGTTAAAACAATTTGGATTTAAATTGTTTTCATCATCACAACGGTAATGGAAAAAGTCAACCAGCATCATGTGCAGTGAAAGTAAATGCCTTTGGATGTTCTATCGTGTTGATAGTATCTAAGCCTAAGCAGTAGTAATGATCCTTAGAAGCAAATCTTGCTTTTGAAACCCACGTGTCTCCTAATTGGGCCCGTGCTTACGTTCGTTTCAAAGTGCAACAAAAGGGAAATGAATCCAAAATGTTCAGAATCCAGCCCAATGCAATGGGCTCAAGCCAGCCCCTACAGGAGGCACCATAAAGGTCACATGGCAAGTGTCTTGTATCCATGTTGGGATCACTCTTCGGGAGTCATTCCCTCCTCTGCTATGTTGTGTACTTCAAAATGAGTTTTAAAGAAAATCATTCCAGATGTGAGGTGATTATGCATTTTTGTCTTGTAGGCCTCAGCCATACCGGGCCCTGAAAGAGTCTGATAGTGCCGATGGGGAAGAGGCTGTCAGTCCAGAGAAAGCAGAGGAGGCCCTGCCTCAAAACCCTCCTGCTCCTGACCAGATCACAGAAATTAACCTCCTGGAGGACATTTTCACCAATTTAGAGGTGGAAACGCAGCCTCAACTTCTCAGCCAAGCCAAGAGCTTGGAAGACCTAAGGACCCCAAAAGAGGAGAGTGCTCCACAATGTACGTTTGATTATCAGGTATGGGCAGGATTTTGTACAAGGTAAATGATAGAGATGGAAGGACGTTTGCAGAATTAAAGGGCCCTCCGTTGGCCAGCCGCCCGTAGGAAGGAATTCTGTATTTCACTGTCAGTGAATCCATTTGCCCCATCCTGTTCCAGTGTGTTTAGAAGATTCATTTCTGAACGAGAGACTCTGTCCATGGCATGGACCATAGTTAGAAGGCAGTGGTCTCTTGTTGCGACATAAAAGCAAGGTGAAACTAAAACCTTCATTTTCAAAGCAGGACTCCAAAGCCAGTGACAAAGGCTTTTCCCCAGAATCTGCCGTGTTCTGTAGCTGTCATACACGGAGATCCTTGGGGTTGGTGCTCAGCAGTGCAAATACCAAGCAGTTTAGGAAGTGAAAGGATGGTGCAGTGGTGAGTGCACTAACCTAGGCCTTGGGACCCCTGGTTCAAATCCCCACTGCCAGGTCACTTTGACCCTTTGTGCCTCAGTTCCCCTTCTGTACGCTGGGAATAACAGTCCGACACGCACACATGAGCCTAAATACAGACAAGCCTCTGAGGCACTCAGATATTACAGCAATGGGAGCCGATGGGGGATGTCAGGGTCTCTTCATTTCTGAGGTTGCTTGCACTCAAAGTGACCCCACCTCTGACCCACTTTGGGCCACAATGAGCCAAAACCGGGAATCGATTTGTAAAGTCTCCTCATTCTGCATGCGGCATGTTTTCTGAAGAGCCGCCTTAGCAAGTGCAAAACTAAAGCATAGACCCTTTGACAGTTTTGTGCAACACCAAGCAAAGGCAGGTAGCATCATTCCTGTAATGACACTTAGTGGCTTAAATCCAGGTGTTGCCGAGCATTTCCTGTATGCTAGTAAAGTTTTTTAGCCTGACCGCCTCTGCTTCCCCTGACTGCCTCCGCTTCCCCGTAAGTCGATCTCACTGTGTGCAGATTACGTTTGGCAACAGACGGTGCAGTGATATCCCCAGCGTCACACAACCCACCCACGACTAAACCAGAACTCAGCCCTGACTCCTGACTTCTATCCTCGTGCCTACACCACGCTCTTTTCTCTGTCCCTCTGCATCCTTCTCCTATTGCTACCGCTTTGCTGTGCTCTTCCCATCTGTGATGGGCAGTGGATGTTAATCTGTCTTGTGCTCTCTGGCAGAGAATGGATCTTGGTGAATCCGAGAGGAGCAGGATCGTGCCAGCCATGAAACTCTCTCATCCCTACAACAAGTTGTGGAGTATGGGTCACGATGACATGGCCATTCCTACCAAATATTCCCAAAGCTCACCAGAGAGGCCCCTGACTTCTTTTGGGACCATCCCATCAATCCCACGGAGGCCCCGGAGCAAAGACAGCATCCTGGCCCCTGCAGAGAGGGAGGAAGGCAGCGCAACTGTTCACGGAAACATCACCATCCCTAGACCCCAGGGCAGAAAAACTCCAGAGCAAGGGATCGTCCCACCACCCCCGGTACCCCGACCCACCAAACAGCAGACTCCGGTGGGAGCAGCAGACACTGTGAACACCTGCCCTGCGGGACGCAGCGACTTGGCTTCGCAGCTCATGCAGGAGGCCTTTACAGCCGGGAACGTGTCCCTTGACCTGGAATTCAGACAGTCGGTAAATTATTCCCCTCGCCCCTCTCAGCTTCTGCCCAGTGCTAGCAGTGCTGCCGAGATGCTCCAGCCCGTCAGGGTTAGCGCCGACAGTGCCGAGCGTGAGAGTGACTACCTTCTCAGCCTGCTGGACCCCTTGAAAACCACCAGCTGGCAAAACACAGGACCCCAGCAAGGCGCTAGCAATGTGCAGAGCTCCGCCTCACCTGGCTCTGCTGCTGGCTTTGCTTCAGTGGGCGGGGAGTTTGCCTCTTCTCCGGCAGCACCGTTCACCCACCCGCTGGGATACCCTCCGTCAGCACCGCCGTTTCTGCAGCCCTCCCTCAACCCATTTACACAGACGGTGCCAGCATCCCTGACGATGTCTCTGGCCAGACCCCCAGGGGGACCCTTTACCCCGCCGTTAGGCCATGCTTATAGCACCAGCTTCATGACACCTAATTCTGGCTTTTACCAACCACAGCGACATCAGCCAGGCATTTCAGCTTTGTCCATGCCCCATCTGTTTGGCCAGGCTACACCACCAGCACAGGCTAGTTCCTTACTACCGCAGAACCATAGCCCTTCCCCAGCCAGCTCTCTGCTGCCAGCACGCGTAAGTGGGCCTTCTCAAATCCGAACCTTGCCAGCCGGCCGTTCTGGCTCAAAGATAGATGTCAAGCAAGGGTTGGCACGAAGTTCTAGTGACCGCCCTCTGATCCCCCCAAGGCCCGCTAAGAGCTCAGAGTCCGGGTTACTGCCCTCAAAGCCTGAGGAGACAAAAGATCCATTTGAAGATCTGTTAAAAAAGACAAAGCAGGAGGTTTCGGCCACCCCAGGTAAAGTAGATCAGCTCAGAAAGCGCTGGGAAACCTTTGAATAATGCTCCACACGACCGCCTTCCTTTTGGGATTAGATTCTTCTTCTTATTTGGTTGGCTTGTTTTGAGCCAACACAAAACCAAGTTTCTTTATATGGAAAGTTATGGACACAGGAAACACAACTGCTCTTCTAGAATTCACAAGCAAGTGCTACTGGCTGGAGTCCATTTTGTTGATGGAACCCCCATGTCGTCCCATTACCAGCTCTGGTTTTCACACTGGTAACCTAGCGGGCTCTTTGCCTGCAGTCGGTGAAACCTCCAATGACCCTTGCGCGGGCCAAAGCATTAAGGTTATTAGATTGTATTTTCTTTCCTTTTCCCACAAATGGCCTTCTCAAGATACTACTGAACCAGAAACTGCTCATTTCCTCCCTTGTATTCTCACAGCACGTTCAATTTCTTCAGTTATACATATTGCTTTGAATGTTTGCTTACGTACGTAGTGTGCAGCAACTAACCAAAACCGGTGGTTTGTATGGAGTTAATCCACTGGGCTTCCACTGAGTTTGTTCACTAGCCTGTTTAGCAATATATACATTTCACTGATTACACAATTGTATGAGCTTTTGTTGTAGGTTTTGGGTTTTTTTACACTCACCCCGTGACCATCACCCACAGAGCAGGGACTTCTTCAGTACAGACTCCATAGTATTCCCAGTTACAGCAAAACAACAGTACAGAGCGAAACATCCGTGGCTCAGGGCTCGATCTGCTGTCTCCGGTGGGAAAATGGAAGCACCAGCAATTTAATTTTTAAACAAAGACATTGGAAAGTGTCTTGTGATGGAGTCCTTAAACTATAGCCTACTTAATCTGTACCTGTGCATCAATATGATCGATCAGTGTTCTAGATGGCAGTATTTGAATGGATGTAAAAAAGAGAAAAAACAGCAGGACATAAGTATTCCAAGATCTTGAGTTCTCCAAGCCAAACCGCAGTCCATTGATGAGAAGGCCTGTTTTCAGATTGGTAAAGCCACAGTCCATGTCATACCCAGAAATCACAAGCTATAGCTATTCCCACGTCAACAACGTAACACTAAAATGTCAGGTGACAGCTGCCTGTCATTGCTGTATTTTTGGAAGCACTAAGTGCCACCTGGGCGCAGCTGAGATTTCGTCACCGTGTACAAGGTTCAGCATCCCTCATTCACACTTTCAGAAGTGTCGAGAACTTTGTTCCCACTTTTGCTGAGGTCACAAATGGAAGGTGGTGGGAACCAGGTGATGTACCATAAAGCAATGAACATGTGAAAGGATTTATTGATTTGGATTTTGCACAACATTTCTCTCCGGCGACCATGACCTCAAACATTTCAATGCTTAGGGTTGGCATTTCTGTAAGAACTGCTACCTGTACCAGGGTCATTTTTGTTTGTTACATAAGTATTGTTGGGCTTTGGCTTTTTTACTTTGAGACAGTTTGCTTTAAAACACCTACTCAGAAGTAATTTTGTCACAATTTTGTCTTTGTTTAAGCAAAAGAAGCAGTTGTAGACACATGGGAAATTCTTGTGAGACTCTGTCCAAATTCTCTCTGGTATATGTATTTTGTTCCTAGAATCTCCTTGCGGGCTCTCTTAATCTAGTGTATTAAAATGGCCATCTACATTGGAGCCTGTGCAATATAAGAAAATCTACTCTAATAACAGAATGCCAACAGTTTGAGGGAGACCTTAATGTTGCATTGGTGTTTCTGGAAAGTACTACTGTTTTTACACACCAGTCAATCAGTTTTGTATTTCTTTTCTTTGTGGGGAGCTAGAAGGTGAATGATTTTCATATTGCCTAGTTCTGTATAGTAAAATATTTAACATCTACAAGATTAGCAGCATTTTGTTCTAGACTGTACAGAATGTGAATTTCTGAGATACCAATTTGGTCTAGACACTCTGAACCCTTTAACTGCTGTATGCTCACTCATAAACCTTTCCCAGAGGTGTGTATGATAGAGGGAAGTATCTGAATTGCCATTTCATGTACATGTACGTCTCTTTTTTTCCTTTTGAATGCTATGCACTGGCTGTGTGGTGAATATTCGTTTTAAACTAAGTGGGAAAATGCTACGGTATTTCTGTATCGTTGCAAAGTATTTTCCAGCCTTATTTAATGTTTTATTCTGTTCACCCATTTGTCCAACAGATTGTCGTGAGCGGTCTGCTGCACTGTTCTTTTGAAACGCACAAACAAGTCTTGATGTTTAAAAAAAGCCAACCCTGAGACCCTGCAAAATATTCAAACACTTGATCGTCCTCTTCCCTTTCTTTTACATAAGGAAAAAAAGGTGGGCCCACTCGGGAGAGATCCATAGTAGGTAGGGAGCACTTTGCTAGTGCTTGTCTGGTCCCTCACTTCTTGGATTGGATCTGCAAAGGAGGAAATCCGTCTCGCGTGTTCAGCAAAATAAAAGAATCAAACCATCACGGGTGCTATTGTTTGTCTCATTGAAACTGTTGAATACCTGACATGATCTGTGGCAGGGAATTTGGGACTCTGGGCTTTGCATTCACCTAACAGCTAGCAAGTTTTTAGCAATTTCCAAATGGCATTATACTCCGCACGGTGGGGGAGAGATTTTCATCTTAGCTGGTGTTGTCCATGTTTGCTTGTTTTTTATACTGCATCCCTTATTTACATTTGCTCTTATCCATCACAGTGTTCTTTTCCCTCTCGTTTTGAAAGCTGCTAAGTATATGGGCCAGAGCACAGCAATGCACCTCTTGGTAATCAAACTGTTGTTCTGATTTGTCTTGTTGAGCAAGTTGAGGTGTGGGGTTGGATATTTTGGGTAAAAAAAAAATCTGTTTGATTTCTGTGTTCTCAAGAAGCCTGTATAAAGTGTGAGTTCGTTACTTTGAATTTAGCTTCACAGATTTGTCAATGACATTTTATGGGACATAACTATTAATCTAGGTTGGGAGTTCTTGTGCTAAATGTTTTTCATAAGTCAAATGTCATTTGTCAGAAATCACACTTTTAATAGAAACCTCATTTTACAAGATGTTGTTGGGAACGTTTCTCAGATCCGTGAGTAGGTGAGTGAGACTCCTGCTTCAGAATATGCAGCAACTCCATGGTTAGGGCACCCATCGGGCACTCACCTGGGAGGTGGGAGACCCAAGTCCAACTCCCTGCTGTCTTGGATTTGGAACCAAGTGGACCCCTGGCTATTCTTTTCTGGCATGATGGGCTGTGTGTGTCCACTTTTTCATGGCAAAAATGTGACTTCTCATTCTGCATCCGAGGGTATGTCTACACTACAGAGTTTTGTTAGAAAAATGGCCGTTTTTCCGATAAAACTCGAGGAACATCCACACTGCAATTGCGTTCTTCCACAAGAAAATCAAAAGAACGGAGGGGTTTTTCTAGCATTGGTAATCCTCATTCTACGAGAAAGAAGCCTTTTTGCGAAAGAGCTCTTTCACAAAAAGTTGTGTGTGGACAGGGAAGAGGAAAAAGCACAAGTGCCCTGGTGGCCATTCCGTCCATAGCAATCACAGCTTACATGCGAGAGAACGTCCATTCAGTCTGGAGGCTCTCTTTCGAAAAAGCGGATTAATTTTTCGATGCACTTTTGCTGTACGGACCCTCTCTTTTGGAAGAAGTTTTTTTCAGAGGATCTCTTTTGAAAAAAGCTTCTTCTGAAAGAAGCCTATAGTCTAAATGTAGCCAGAATGAAAACAAATTCTTTTCTAGATGCTGTGAATTATTTGCGCTCTCCAAACTGCTGTATTCAGCATGCACCAGCTATGTATTTCCATCAATTGTGCTTTTTTGAAAGCTCAGCTGTTCCATAGCCCTGAGTGATGCCCCTTTTGGGTCACATGACATTGTATGTTTTGGTGTATGATGATCTTTGTTGTGCCCTGTAAGATACCAGCTACAGGAATGTGAATGTTGTTTCTGTATTTTGGTACGGTGGACGTAATGTGAACAAAAAGCCCCTGTCAGATTGCGGGTTTGAACAGTTAATTGATTACATTGAGCTCAGCCTTTATAAACCAGATACAGGAGATTTTTCCTCTTACTGAGTCCCCTTATGCACATGAGCGTATCTTGTATTCGATATGGGAAGCACAGATGAGGCCAGGGTCTCTTGGAATAAGCCATCTGTTCCGCTGAGTGTGGCGTGTGAATTCACTCCAATAATTTAAAGACATTTCCCAGTATGGTGCGCCTGTATGGTAGGCAGCAAAATAAGTGCATCCCCAAGCAGGATTTCTTTGTATCCTAGAAGTTAGATCTTTCCAGGCTTCTGAACATCAAATCGGTACCTGGCCTCGTCTCACTTCTCTTTTAGAACAGTGAACGCTCTGACTGGAAGACTGTGCGCCATGAAATTCTTAATTTGCATGCCCCAGATTTTTGGTATCTAAGTGACTGTGTTCCTTCGCTCTGGCCTCTGGGGTGTATCTACCAAGCACGGCGGCCTGGATCACCCAAAGCCCTCCACTAACGGGCTCTCATTGATTTGGCGGAAGGTCTCGGGTTTGTGAGTGCTTGCACTATGCTGTAGGTTATCCAGATTTATTACATACGGATGCTGTTTGGCATTCCTTGTGCTAAACACTAAATCTGTATCCAGCTGTTGTACCAACCAATTCTAATCTCATCAGCTAACATTCTAAAAAAAAAAATAATGGAGATGCCTATCTTGTAGAACTGGAAGGGACCTTGAAAGGTCATTGAGTCCAGTCCCCTGCCTTCACAGCAGGACCAAGTACCATCCCTGACCAATATTTGCCCCAAATGGCCTCTGCAAGGATTGAACTTACAACTCTGGGTTTAGGCCAATGCTCAAACCACTGAGCTATCCCTCCCCCCTAAGACTTCTCTCTCATGTTTAATGGACTTCCCCAGACAACACGAGTCTGCCTGTTAAGAGGCAGCCCTCCACAGAGACGGGCCTCCTTCAGAGAGAGGGCTAGAACCATGGGATTAACCATGCCAGGCAGTCTTCACAGCATGTGTAAAGGTGAAGGAAAGCGCTCTGAAAATCAGGCCGTTGGTCTTGGAAGGGAAGGCTCCTGGGTCTAGCCTCCCTACAGCGACAGGTTCATGGGATTGCATGGAGGAACCAGCCTTTCAGGCACACTCCCTCCCCACCATCCCATGTACCCCTTCTTCAGATCCACCCGCCTCTGCCACACCCAGCCCCTCTATTCCCCTCCATGAGAAGCTGCCACACTAAAATCTGTCCTGATTAAGGCTTCGAAGCCTGGTAGAAGATTTCACTTTTACTCCTCCTGTCCTGGCTGGCTGTGCCCTCTCTTCTAGAGGGAATTAAAAAAATGAAGTGTAAGGAAATCCCTCAGCCAGGCATGATGCACTTTGCCCTCATTTCACCCACAGTGTGCATATGGTTTATGAGCCAAGTTTGTGCGGAGGTTTTATTTGCATTATCATAGTGCCTACAAGCCCCAGTTGTGTTCATTATCCGCTACACATACAGAGGCAAGGCTCAGATGCATTTTTAACCTGCTTTTATTGTAAAGGAATGTATCTGACAGTCTAATCTTTACCCACCTATGCAATTCACATTTACAAAAACATCAACATTGAGGCTCATCATCTGTAGCAAATTGGTTTGTGAAAAAATATATTCAAAAATTCAATATCAAAAGACAGTTAAGTTCACAGTGGAAAAAAATGCTCCATAAATTAAATAGCAGAAATGTTTAAAATACCCAGCCCTTGTCTTGTATCCATTCACTAGCTGTGGTTTGAGGACACTTAAAGTCAGGCTGGTAAACCTGCTTTAATAACCTCGTAAAGAAATTTGGATTTCCCGAGAAGAGGGATGTAAATGCACCTCTAGCTTTCAGCTTTCCGCAAGGCTGGTTTTTAGGTCTCTTGTTTTACGCTACTGTTTTGTTTCATTCTTACCGCCTTAGGGATTGTTGAATAGCTTTGTAATTAGTCATTCTGAGTAAGACCCAGCCATGTCCCAGCTCACGCTAGCAAAGGCTGGAATAGCAGCGGTTTGCGGGCCTGCTGCTGCGTTAGTTTTTTTGAATGTATACAACTTAGGTTTCTCTACTGCAAAGCGCAGCTGAAGAGGAAAGGTGCAAGTTCCAGCTGCACGTGAATGTGCCCCACCGGCTGTTCTAGCGTCGCTCTCTGGGGATTCAGAAATCCTACATATGCCTGCTGAGGATTTCTGGTGCGTCCTCATGGGATGAGCTCCCACTCGTTTCCCTTGGGCCCTAATCGAAGGTTTTATCCCATGTACCCTGAGGTAAGTAGGGATGATGGATAGCGGGTAACAGAACAGTTGACTAACCACATGAATTCTTAGCAGTTAGTCAACTATTCTAGAGACCCAGCCTGTGGTGGCAGCAGCCCCTGTC